GTCTCTTAGTGTTGTCTCGAGTGCTCTGGAGTGATTTCCGAGACTCTTTTCTTTGGATTGACAACTTCCTTTAAGGACCGAGTCATTTCCACATTTTTCTTTTTTCGACATTATTCACTTTTCGTCCTTTTCCCTATTTCGTCTTTTTCCCTATTTTGTTTTTTCCCTGTTTGTCACTTTGTTTGCAAAACCACACTTCTTGCGTTTGGAGTTGGTTTTTGGCTTCATGTATTTTCATTGTAAGTGGTTTCCACGAAATATGTATCTTTACTTTTGTAAGAAAGTACTCTGGTTACTCCCTGTATCCATAGAGGCATGGATGCATAGTTCTTTAGAATTATTTTCTTTTCTTGGGTTGTTTTTCGTAAATATCTTTTAAAGATATTTTATTTCAGGGGTTTTTAAGAAAATATTTTTGGAAGATATTTTCTTTCTGGGGCATTAGTGTAGTTTCACTTTTTGGAGGGGCCATTGTGCAATTAACGAAAGTTATTGCAAAAATACCTCATCTGGAGCTTGGATCCTCGTACGGGATTCATTTTTACATTTCGTCGAGTCGTGCACTCTTAGAATTTCCTCCTAGTCGTTGTTTTCCAGTTTCAGGGTTTCTGGCTCCAGTTGCCGCTGAACTTGTTTGGGGTATAACTTACTGCTTGGGACTTGGTTTTTGCCGCTATTTCTTCCATTGTTCATCTTTTCTTATTTTGAATCTTTTTTGTTCACAGAGTTTTGCCTTTTGAGCGCGTCTGCTCAAATTTCACTTTTCTAGACCCGGCGGGGCCCTTTCAGGGCACTTTTTAAGATTTTCTATAAGTAGGGGACTTAAAGAAGAAAAGTCAGATTTTAATCATCTTCCTCCCCCTCTTGGCCGGCAACCAGGGGAGCTCCTTGGGCTGCCACCTTTTCTTCTTCTTTTCTATTTGATTTCCTAAGTGAAAAGTCTTCGGCCTTAACGTTTGTTGTTCCCTTCGTCGTGCTTTATCTTTCACCCTTATTAGAACTCATTTATGACCATTTTCGAGTTTGGGTTTGAAATCAAGTTGTGATTTTGATGGGGCTTCTTAGGGGTTCATGTAGATCTTGTTGTCCCCGACAAAACCCTTCAGTATCGTCAGATTCGGAGCACTTTTTTTTCGGTGGGCTTTTGAGATTTTCATCTCAAATTGAGGTAGGGGATGTTTTAGGATTGTTTATGTGTTGTATTAAGTGTTTTCCATGATTATACAACTTGTATGCGTGCTTTTGTTTAAAATCTAGAATTTAATTTAATTAATTTCTATGATTAAGATTTAATTCTCATGATGTTATATGACTTAGAATTAAATTGTGACATGTTAGAAAATTATGTTTTGATATGTTTGTTAACATATATTAAATTGGAATTATTTGAATAAGAATTGCACTTTTTATTTAATAATTATTTTTTATGAAAGTTTAATTAAGTTTTGACATGTCAAATGTTATAAATGAATTGTAATAAGGCCATGAGCCATTTCAGCATGTTTAAAATGTTATTTTACACTTGCGTGTATGTCCACATCATCACACACTTGCATATAATTCATTTTGATCATGCAAAGGGGGATCCATTTGAGACTTAGGAATTTCTTTTCAGTTTTGGTGCTTAACAGATTCATTCTTTGCATTTCTGCCTGTTTCGGTTGACCGGTGGCTTGTTTTGGTCGACCGATGGCCTTTGAATTTCAATTGAACAGTAATAGTCCAATTCCAGTAGCCATTTTTCGCTTCGAGCCACAAACCGGTCGACCAGTTTTTCTTTTCGGTCGACCGAAATGAAGGCTCATTTCTCTTCTCTTCCTGGTCCATTTCGGCAGACCGAAGCTCCATTTCGGTCGACTGAAATTGAGCTATTTTGTGGTTTTGCTTGGTCAGTGTTTTCGGCTGGTTGGCTTTATTTGTTTGTCCCAACATAACCTTATCGATCTTGTTTAAGCCATTTAATGGTGTACGTAGTCTAGTTTGAACTAGATCACATTCCTTTGGTTGTCATTTGTGCCATAGGGTATCATTTGACCTTTTTATTCTAGTTCCGCTTCTAGTTATTTCCTTGAGTTTCATGACTTCATGGGAAGTCATTTGGGTGTCTTAGGGATGATTGATATCTCTACAGGTCTTATTTTTGGTTTCGCTTCCGCATTTCGGATCCTTTATCGGGTCAACTTTCGGTTCATCATTGACGTAACGGGTTGAAAAACTTGGGCTGTCATAACCTCAGTTATTTGTCTTGTTACTTACCCACCACAATAGTTTTTAGGTTTAGGCAACATTTACATTTCTATCCAAACTTAGCTATAAGAAATGCAATACTCTTGTATATTTCATCACACTAGGACCACTGGGACGTATAACACTCTTGAGCACAGCTTGAAAAGACCACATTACCCTTGTAACAGTTTTTATGCTTCTCAGCCAGTTGATGGTCTTGAGACTATATAATTCACAATACAGGTTCAATTAAGGCTGTTTAGTGCAATGCAGCAATCAAGGCACATGTATATACATGAAATAAAATTGAGAAAAGACCATAATACACATGTGAATACCTGTAGCTAAATTGGACTTGCCAAACCTCCACTATCACAGAATTTCAGCAAGATAAGTAAGCAAAGTGTAATGCACCATCTCAGATTAATGTCTAACATGAGTATCCATAAGAAACTGACAATACTACCCATGTACTTTATTTCAAACCACAATGCAAGTAGAGATCATTCTTGAAACAACAGGATAACAAGGTTTTTGACATTAAATAGGCAAACTTCCTTAAGACAGCTTAGAGCCAACAATTATATTTATTTTATTCAACAACTGGCAACTATCTTTTGATAGACGATTTTTTCTCTAGAAAAGACAAATTTTTCTCTAGGGTTTCGAAGGGTGGTGCATCATGGAGGAGGGGGTTCCCTCCTCTTCTTTGTCGGCGATCTCTCTGGGTCGGCCTCCTAACCTTAACCAACCATCTCTCTCTCTCTCTCCCTCTTCCTTCACTTTTTAATGTTACTTCTTCTTCTTCTTCCTCTTTCCCACCGCCATCTTCTTCATGGTGTAATATGTTCTCTAAAAACTTTTCCAAACCATTTACTAATCTTACATACCACAGTGACGTTCGTGGTAAAAAGGTATCCATCACAGAGTTGGATGTTGCAAAAGAGATACAGTATTGGAAAAACTCAGTGATAGGTTATGTAATGGGGAAATGACCTTATTATCATAGATTTAAGGGTTATATCGAGAAATGATGGGCAAAGAAAGTTACAGTATGTTACTTGAAAGAAAGTTTCTTCATTGTTAGGTTTGAATCGGAAGAAGAGGTCATACAGACTTTGTCTCGGATTTATACGTTTGAAGGCAAACCCATTATTATCATGCAATGGGACAAGAATGTTAATCTCTCTAAGGAAGTCTTGGACTCGGTTCTGTTTGGCTGCGATTATTTAATCTTCCAATTCATTGCCATGATGCTGAGTCTGTGTCCAAAGTTTGTTCTAACTTGTCAAAACCTACATATATGGTTGATCCAAAACTATACAGAGATAAGGGTGATTATGTTAGAGTTATGGTTGAAGTGGGGGTTAAAGAGGTGCTACTAGAATCTACTATAGTAGATATTCATGGATGTGATTGCTATGTTGATTTAGAATATGAATGGAAGCCCACATTATATGGTATTTGCAAGAAAGTTGATCATTTAGAAGATAGATGCTCTTCAAAAGTTTTGCATACAAAACCAAAGAAAGGGGTGGACAAGTGGGTAGTCACAAACAAAGGTAAGAATATTATGGTAGATGAGGTGTTTGATACTATGCTAGTTCAAGGTCCCGGCTCCAGCTATCTATGGGTAGGTTCAGGTTTCAAATGCTTTTGCAGTTCTAGAAGAGAATGAAGCTCCTGGCATTGCTAGTGAGGAAAATGTGGTGGAAGATGTTGATGATACAGTGGTGTTGAATTTGGAGGGGATTGCTAATGACATTAAACATGCCGACATTGAAGTTCAAGAGAATGACGCTATAATTATTAATGAGATTGTTACAGATATTGAGAACATAACACAGTTAGGAATGGATATATCTGATCCTAGGACTGAGTTAATCTCTACACATGATTCTTTAGGTTTAGTTGGTGGGGAAGATTCTAGTAATGAGACAACACTCGGTTTGGGACAGAAGGGAGGCCCAAAATCCGAGAAGAGACCAAAGAAGCCAGGGATTGCTACTTCAGCTAGGGTGACTAGAAGTCAAGTGGGGCTCATGCCTCAACCTTCTCATTCTCCTCAATGATTGGTGCATAGAATGTGAGAGGCTTAAACAAGCCTAGAAGACAAAGAGAAGTAAGGGGTTAGATACTAATTTATGCCTTTCAGTTTGTTTGTTTATTTGAAACTCAAGTTAAAGTAGATAAGTTTGATTTTATCTCCAATAGAATAAGGAATAGTTGGAGTTGGATTGGTAATTATGATAACCATGTGGGAGGAATGATATGGATAGGGTGGAATCTTATTGTTTTTACTATTACTGTCACATATAGTAAGGATCAATGTTTGCTTCTCAAAATTGTAGCAAATCACACAGGGAAAGAGTTTTATTGTACACCTGTTTATGTTGCCAATCAAAGGAAGGATAGATTAGAGTTGTGGAATCATATTAATTACTATACTTCTGTTGTGAATGGTACTTGGATTACTCTTGGGGATTGGAATGCAATCAGGTTCCATGGGGATAAAAAAGGTGGTGGGAGAGTGACTTAGAAAATACTGGATGAATTTAATATGTGTTTGCAGAATGCTAAAATGCTAGAACTATCTCCTATAAATGGAGAGTGGTCTTGGTGCAATAGACAGAAGTTGCGAAGAAAGATTCATATGAAATTAGATAGGGTATTCTTGAACCAAGTGCTGCTTCACCATGGCAAGGACCTCTGATCATTCTGGAGTTTTGGTGTAAGTTTCATGAAATTTTGCTTCGGGGCCAAAACCTTTTAAGATGCTGAAATTATGGTGCGTTAAGGATGCTATTTTACCTTTGATACAACAAGCATGGGATATTGAGGTAGAGGGAGCTCCAATAAATAGACTCTCGAATAAACTTAGGAATGTTAAGAAGGCCGTTAAGGAGTGGAATAAAAATGGTTTTGGAGATGTGGGAGATAAGGTTATTCAATCTACCCTGAGGTTAGAAACAGTCCACGATAGTCTTCGTAAGGATCCATCAGATATACTTCTTGATGAAGAGCAAACGGCCAGAGAGGAATATGAAGCTACTGTTGCTGATGAAGAAATTTTAGTGGCTCAGAAATCCAGATTAACATGGTTAAGGGAGAATGACAGGTGTACTGCTTATTTTCATCAGAAATTAAAGAAGCATAGAAATTTTAATGCAATTATCAAAATGGAGAATGATGAAGGGGAAATTTTAGTGGATCCAAAGGTTATTAGTGACTGGTTTGTGACTTATAACACTAAATTCTTCATAAGGAGTGCTTCTGAGGTTGTGTGTGATATATCCCCTAGATATACCTTAGATAATATTAAAATGGATTTGTTAGAAGGGTCAGTTACCTATGAAGAAGTTAAGGCTGTGGTAATGAACTTTGCTCCTGATAAAGCTCCTGGTCCTGATAGATTTCCTACTAGGTTTACCAAACCTTTTGGGCTGTTGTGGATAAAGAAGTGATGGCTGATGAGTACTGAATATATGCATATTCGAGCCCCTGAATACCTATATGTTAAGGCCTAAAGTGATACTTCTATCCGTAATTAGACTAATTTATGTTTAATGTGTGTTTGTAGGTACTTCTCCAAAAAAATAGTTAAAACTAGGACTTTGTGATGATATTGAAGCTTACAGAGTCATTGCCGGTCATTCAAAGCAAGTCGAGAGCTTAAATGGTGAATTTTGAAGAAATTCAAGTCTTAGAGCTCGAGCCCAAGTGTTGAGGCTCGAGCATCACAACAAAGAAGAGAAGAAAAGTCAACAAGGCCCAAATGCTCGAGCCTTGTACCTTGATGCTCGAGCCATACCATAAGGTGCTCGAGCCTTAACCGAGGGTGCTCGAGCCTTGACCCTCAAGCTCGAGCATGAGGCATCAAAAATTAATGAGTTGATTTTAATTGAAGGCTATGCTCCCAGGTCTCGTGTCTCACCTCCAGGATCAAGCACCATCTATTAAGGATCGAGCATTATCCACTGATGCTCAAGCCTTGAGCCCCAAATGCTCGAGCCTGGTACCTAGTGCTCGAGCCCTTGAAGCTTGGATCGAGCAATGTTAAAAGAGTTCAACCCCAAAAAATATTCTAAGTGTTGAAGAAAAAGACGCTTCGGAAAATAGTTGAAGAAAATTGGTTAAGTGTCAAAGTGAAGATCGAGCACCATTTATTGAAGCTCGAGCATCCATCCAGAGAAGCTCGAGCATTGTTCCTTATGCTCAAGCATGAACTCTAAAGCTCAAGCATCTGTTCCTGAAGCTCGAGCCTTCCATGATGTGTTAGATTAATATTACGGGATTGCTTTCTTTACCAGCTGTATCTCATCTCAGTTGGGCCAGAAGACCTAAAAACCCACCAAATATTTATTTTCTTCTATAAAAGAAGGCGTAAGCCTTGATAGAAGAGGTCTGCAATTTCAATCTCTTTTGACGGTATTATTCAGATGGCTGAAGGTGCGATGGCTTTTAGGGTTTCTACAACCTTAGAAGTGAAGATCATGAGAAGAGAAGTGCCGTCCGTGACGATGGATATGAGCTCAACACAGATGATATCCATCGTCGTCATGAGTAGCTAATTCCTTTCTTAGGGTACTGATGTAACCCAACCTACTATTATGGTTTGATTGTTTTAACTCTAGGTTTTATTTTAATATATGATTATTTTCTTAATTATATGACTTTGAGCACTTGAGACAACTCAAGTGGGTTTTATGCTTTAATAGATTATAAACTGTTATTCCCTTGTCTTAGTAGTAATAGTTTATTCTCTATTCTCAACCTATCTTATTGTGTGGTATTTGGTGGAGCAGGACACAAGAATAAAGGTCATATAATGGTACTTTCATGTTTTTACAAAAGAATGTTTTCATAATCTATGCTTAGGAAAGGTGGTTCATTCGCAAAGTAGTTAAAGTAGGTAGAGTAGGTAGACGAATAGTCCGCGCTAACCGTAGATAGGTTATAGTTAGCTAATCTTGCAAAACATCTTTCTTTAAAACCCGAATTGAACGAATGTTATTGAGTTCAATTCTTTTGAAAAGTATCATTGTTAAAGTCCTAGAGTTAGTATAATTAACCATAATATGATGGTTGTGGTGAAGTCAAAGCCCTAAGACTTTCTCTTCCTGATCATTTAAATTAGTTTAATTTGCTTTAGTTAGCTATTTTGCTATAATTTTAGTTTGTTAAATCGTGACAACCAACAAACTTTCTAACCAAGTTACCTGTAAACCATAAAACGAAATTAAAGACTAATGAAAATCTCATCTCTTTGTGGGTTTGACATCCTCTTTACATAGAACTATCCTACACGATATTGTTCTATTACGAGCAGGTATTTTATTATTGCGAGATACACGAACAATTTTCGGGGAGATTATTTTTGTTTAGTTTTTAATTAGTTATTTTGGTTTACTAGTCTTCGGACTTTCTGATATCTCATCTTAATTCTTTTTCTTTTTAAGTACAAATTAGAAGGGGCGACAAAGGCACTTAAGGGAGAAAAGCTTCAATTTATTAAACCTTTTGTGAGTTTTTACTATTTTTCTGTTACTTGAAATATTTTATTTTTGCTACTGTTAGGATTAGTGGAACCAATGCATGTTGACTCGCCAAAATAGGTCAAAACCTTTAGTGCATGATCCTGAAATAGAGAGAAATTTGAGTCAGTTAAGAAAACTTAAAAAACATTTGAATAATATTTATAATTCCTCTGGTAACATAGCTGAGCAACGTAATGCACTGGGTAATAATGTTCTTCCACTACAACCAAAATTGAGGGATCATTTCATTCCTACCACATATATTTCCCCTTCGTGCTTTATTTTTCTGGATGCTAATGCAACCCATTTTGAGATCAACCCTGCTATGATCCAAATGCTTCCTACCTTCCGTGGGTATACAACAGATGTAATGACCTTGACATTTTTTTTCCTTTCCTTTGTCTCGGATTTTCACGGATATTTTTTTTCCCTTTGATCTTTTCCTTTCTGAGCTCGGTTTCTCATCACTTAGTGTCATCTTGAGTGCTCTGGAATGATTTCTGAGATTCTTTCCTTTGGACTGAAACCTTCCTTTGAGGACCGTGTCATTTCCACATGTTCATTTTTTGACACTATTCACTTTACGTCCTGTTCCCTATTTTGTCTTTTCCCCGTTTGTCACTTTGTTGGTATAACCTCACTTTTTGTGTTTGGAGTTGGTTTTTGACTTCATATATCTTCATTCTAAGTGGTTTCCATGAAATACATATCTTTACTTTTGTAAAAAGGTACTCTGGTTGCTTCCGGTGTCCATAGGGGCATGGATGCACAGTTCTTCATAAACATTCTCTTTTCTTGTGGTGTTTTTCGTAAATATCTTTTGAAGATATTTTATTTCAGGGGTTTTTAAGAAAATATTTTTTGAAGATATTTTCGTTCTGGGCCAGTTGTGTAATTTTTACTTTTTGGAGGGGCCATTATGCAATTAATGAAAGTTATTGCTAAATGACTTGTTTTGAGCCTGGATCCTCGTACGGGATTTATTTTCACTTTTCGTCGAGTTGTGTACTTCTAGAATTTCCTTCTGGTTGTTTTTCTCCAGTTTCAGGGTTTCTGGCACCGGTTGCTGCTGAACTTGTTCGGGGCATATCTTTCTGCTCAGGTCTTAGTTTTTGATGCTGTTTCTTTCGTTGTTCATATTTTCTCATTTTGATTCTTTTTTGTTCACGGAGTTTTACCGTTTGAGCGCGTCTGCACAAATTTCACTTTTCCGGACCCGGTAGGGCCCATTCGGGGCACTTTTTGAGTTTTCTATAAATAGGGGGTCTTTAATTGAAAAATCAGATTTCACTGTCTCTCTCTCCTCTCTTGGCTGGATTCCATGGCAGCCATGGCTGTAACCTTCTCTCTTCTCTTTTGAGCTTCTTCTCCTTAGTGAAACACCGTAGTGCCTTAGTGTTTTATGTTTGCCTTGGCGAGGCCTTCAATTCCACCGACTGGAATCTTGTTTTAGCCATTTCTTAAGTTCAAGTTTGAAGTCAAGTTGTGATTTTGATGGGGCTTCCTTTGGGTTCTTGTTCACCGTGTTGTCCTCGACGAAACCTCGAAGTATCGTCGAATTCGGAGAGGTTTCATTTTCATCTCAAATTGAGGGAGGGGGTGTCTTAGGTTTATATTCATGTTGTATTGATGAATTTAGAAGCTTTTATAACTTGTATGCATGATTTGGTTTAAATCCTAGAATTTAATTTAATTATTTTCTGTGGTTAAGATTTAATTCTCAAGATGATGTATAACTTAGAATTAAATTGTGGCATGCTAGAAAGTTTGGCTTTGATATGTTAGATAACATATATTAAATTGGAATTATTTGAATAAGAATTGCAGTTTTTATTTAATAATTATCTTTGGTGAAAGTTTAATTCTCATGGACGTACCTTGCATGAAATTGTCTTGTAATATGCTTTTAAATTAAGTCTTGGCATGTTCTTTAACATACTTTAATTTCAGAGCATTTGGATTAATATGAAAAATCTAGAGATTTTAATTAAAAGAATTAATTAAAATCAATTTAAAGGTTCCATAGGCTTAATTGAGTTTTTAACTTGATATTTATGATGACTAGAAGTTGTTTACTAGCATATATTAAATTTGGACCATTTGAAGTTGCGTTAGAAGTTAGAGATTTAATTATCATGATTTAATTAAATTCTACTTTGTTGTTCCATTGGCCTAATTAAGATTTTTTAATGGATTTATAAGTTTTTGTTTTAAATGTTGAATTATATTGTTATAGCGTGTAACGAATCGCACACTGAAGATTCGACATGTGATGTTATTATAGCGTGTAACGAATCGCACTCTGAAGATTCGACATTGTCATCTTATAGTAGTTGTGGATTTAGAACATATATTGTGTGGTTACAACCTACTTGTGCATGAGATGTATTTTCGTGCTTTATATATTTCGTATATAAGTTGTTAACTTATTTATTTTGGAGTCACTTAGGACATTGTTATAGAGACATGGCTAGAATTTGGCTTTAGTGCAGGAGGTATGAGTTCTCCCCATTTATAGTGCGCACTTAGGGTGGTATTCCCAGCGGGTTAATGCCCGGAATAACCGTAGGTCTTGGCATTATCCCAGACATGATGTACAAGTCTCCTATTCCTTGATTTCGCATTCAATTCCAAGTTGACAACCAATGTTTAATTGTGACTTGTGGTTTTGGTTATTGGCGATTTAATGTTGTTAAGTACATTCTACATTATGATTTTATTTAAATCATCGCAGGTTTAAATGTTGTTAAGTACGCTTATGCTTAATGATTTTTAATGAGGTATTGTGAACTTTGATGTTGTTAAGTACATCTATGCTATATGTTCAAATGTAATTTAGGAATGATCCTATGGATTCATTTGGGACATAGACATTAGGTGGCATGATCCACTTTAGTTGTTTCGTTTTCTAGATTTCAAGTTGATAA